AAAAAAAATATTTTTACTGTGTTTTTTTTAGTATTAAATTATTTTTAAAAAAAATTTTAAAATATAAATTTTGTTTTTTTTTAGGCTAAAATAAAAATTTTTCTGTTTTTAATAAGGTTAGGGAAGTTTTTTTAATTCCTTTTGGGCAAAAATTAAAATTTTTAAAATCAACATTAATGAAAAAAATATATCTTTTAAACTAAAAAAGAGAAAATTTTTAGAAAGGAACTTATTTTTAAAAGAGTTTCTTGGGTAATTGACCAGTTTTTTCATATATATATATAAAAAAAATATATTTTAAAATATAAATATTTATATATAATATATGTAATGTATATATGTAATTGGGTGTGTGTTGTGTGTGTGTTAAAATCGTGGGGTACCTTTCGCAAATAAAACCACGGGGCCCCTTTAAACAAAAAAGGATTTAATTAAGGGGTGAAAGCGAGAGTAAAGGCGAGCTCTCCCTTACCGGGATGAGAATTTGGAAAAAAGGCAAATTTTTGCAGCAACCCGAGGGCAGCTTTTGGGTCAAAAAAAAAAGCACGGAAATACACATCTGAACACTTACTACCGATAAGCCGCCACTGAGTCCCTCATGCAGCTTACCATGGGGTACCAACAATAAATTTTTAAAAACCTGTAAAAATCCCCCAACGACCCAGATTAAACTTTTGCGAAACAGGTTGACTACTGGGCTTAAACCCCCCCCTCAAGGAAGGTTCCTTTAGTTTTTGAGGGGCTCTTGATTTAGGGAAAAAGGGTCTGTGCTCCATTCCCCGAATTTTTGCCTGAATTTCCTTCCAAATCCCCCCCCCCAACCCCCCGGCGCTGTTTAAACCTACGGGTTTTGCGCTTTTCCCCCTTTATTTAATAAAAATAAAATAATAATAATACTGTCTTACCCCTTTCCCCTGGGTTTTCTTTTATGTTTTTGCGCATTTTTTTTGATTTTAAAAAATATATCTGATAAATTTAGAACAGAACTTTATCTTACCCTAAACTACTAAACCCCCCCGCCATAAACCACAATTTTTCCAAAATATCCTCCCCAAATTTAAACCCCAAACCAAATCTTCCTACACCCCTTAACCCCCCCACATAATTTTTCCCCACATTTTTTAACCAAAAACTCCCCCCCCTACACCAAACCCTACTCGCCTTTCCCACCTATCCCTACCAAAAATCCTTTTTAACCTCTCTTAGCCAACTTTTAAATTTTAAAAATAAAGGGTTTTTGAGAAGGGGACTGGGGATGCGTGGGAAAGGCTGTGGCATCTATTCTTTCTGCGGTGAATGTAATCAACCCCTCAAGGGAAACCGGGTTTCGGGGTACCGGTGGCTGACACTGAAAGTATACACTGGCACGAGGCCTCAGGGGGATTCCCCCTCCCAACCAGAAGTTTTTTACAATAACGTTACCCAAAACACCATGAGAAATTTTTAAGCAGACAAAGTTTTTTCCCAAAACAAGGGTAACAGTTGTGCGGTCCAAAAAATTCAAGATGCAATTTTTTTATTCCCTTATTTTTGAAAATGAAAGCAAACGAGTAAATTTAAATTTTTTAAAAGAAAAAATTCCCTAAAAACCACTAATAAAAGACCCCCAAAAATATCACCACCGTAAAATATCAAACATTATATATAGACTTTACGAAATCGTAAAGACACGATTTCAAACAAACCCTGGGAAAAATTAAAAAACAAAATTTCAGTATAATTTTTATCCTTTACTGACTACTTTTGCCACACCCGTGGGGTTTTTCAAATCCAACCCAAAAAGTTTTGTTTTTTGCCTTTAAAAAACCCACTGTGTGGGCGAAACGTATCAATAAAGGATCACATTTTAAAAAGCATAATGTTTTAAAAATTTCCATTGGGGTCGTAAATTTTTATAAACCATTTATTTCAAACAAACCATACCACGGGCGGGGATAGAACCCGTCATGTTAACGGCTTTGAGGGGACTTGAGCTAGAGTTCGTCACGGCCACGCTAGCTGGAGATTCGTCTGTAAAAACTTGCATTTGTGGTCACAGTGATGCCTATGCTAACCTTCCTATGGTGTAGAAATATACCTAGTTGGACGAATCTTATTGTGGCTAGCTGGTCCAGTGGCTACTAAGGCGACGGTCTGGAGTTTTGAGACTCTCTGATCGCGGGTTCTATCTCCGCCCGTCGTATGGTTTGATTATATATATATAATATAATAATAATATATATATATTATATATATATATATATATATATATAATATATATATATAAATATATATATATATATATATAAAATATATATATAAGTTTACTCTAATACTTATTTTAGATGCAGGTATTTTTAGTGTTAGAGTACCAGTGAATGGAGCCCTTAATGACCTACGTGCAGCCAACAGACCTTAAAGCTAAAAACTAACTGCCTACTGGCATCCCAGAAACAGTATCAGCTGAATATACTTTTGCCTCCCTCAATACTTTTGTCTCTATTTAGTCTTGCCAATGTTGTAGACAAAAGTGGTCGTGCTACGCTGGCAGAGCACAACTTTGCTGATTTGTATCAAGGAAAATGTCCTCAGTTTTAGGCCTTTTGTAAGTTCATATGCTTTCCTGCTACCATCCTAGGAATGGCCATGGGAAGGCCAATAAACTAATAGTTTCTGTGGCAGAATCTAAGCAAAAAAAAAGTCTCAGCTTTAGAGTGTATCTCCATCAGCTTTATTTACTACGGAACAAAATCATTTAAAGGCATATCAGAATATCCAAAACAACCACTGTGAAAGAATAGTGAAATTCCAATCGCTTTCGTGAATTCTCACATTATCAAAGAGATAAAGTCCTTTCTAAAATTTTCTTTTATATTTTTAAAGATATATTTTTTCATTTATATTAATGTAAAAATTAATAATTTTGTACCAAAAGAACCTTAGAAAACTTACCTAACCTTATTATAACAAGCACAATTTAGCCTAATTCAACTAAATATATTTTAGATACGTTTATAATAATTTAATAATAAACGAACACAATGAAATATATCTTTTCGTTAGGCTCAGAATGATTTTTGATGAAATTATTGCATACACAAATTTTCGCTTGTCTTATTCGGTAAGTAGAGTGTTGCTATTTAAGCCAAAATCGCAAGATTTACCTATTCGGCAAGACATACATATCACAACAAACATGCTGGTTAATTGGATTTAATTAAAACCTATCGACTAAATGGATTACTAAGGCTATCACGTGTTCACCACTAGTTAAGAATACTATTAGTATCTATTCCACAGAGATATACAGCTCTCAGTGAATATATTTAAACTATATTATACTGAAAAATAACAGTTTATACAGATGTGGTTATTTGCATAATTGCTAAACTATCAATCAATTAATAAGTGTTTGCTAGTACACAATTGTTATACTGCGTAACACTGGCAAATGTGCTTCTAATGCATACCATAAAAGTCAGTCCTGGAATTCAGCAAGCTTGACGTTCTCTGGTAACCAGCCATATGTCAATACAAGAACACCGCCAGATGCTGTTTCCCAGACGTCAGCTGTAATTAGTAGTTTTTACACCATCGGTCTTTCTCTGGCAACGCTGACTACAGTACGGTTCAGGCAATTATCACTGACACTTGGTTTTTCGACACCACCTCCAAGACCAGCCTGAATGTTCCCTCGAGCATTACCATTTGAACTATATGGAAACAGGAACACTGCAAAGACCCACCCTAGTTGACACAGCTGAAACAATTGTAGCCTATGAGTTCCAAACTCTCACAACTGATAAAATATCAAACTGATGAACCCACATCTGTTACCGTGGCAGATCTCGACCTAGCTAAGAACTAGCCTGGATACTTAGGAATTACACAGTCCTCATGGTTAAGACCACGCAGGTGGGTTAATACAAGTTGAAAAGAATAAATGGCTATAATTATAACCTTAATTTTTAAAAGGGTGGGCCGGTAAGCCAGCTGAAGGCCTCGGTCAAATGACCAAAAGCTCCAGTTGCTGGTCATCATATGACTAAGACCTGCGTCAGGAAACACTCGCCCTGCTTCCTGGCAAACTTTACCTAACGTAACCTAGTACAAGTTTATGCCCGGAAAAGATCCACAGACCAATTTGTTAAGACAAGGTTAAAGGCCCGAATACCTACAGTACAAAGGCCTTGTCGAGAAGACACCCCTTCCATTCCTTTTATACCCACACTCATCACTTTGCTGTGACTGATCGATAATCACATGTATGGACGAAAGTGAAACTGGTCAATGCCACGTAGCAACAGGAAAAGGTGAACTGCATAGTTTGGGACTACAAAAAAAAAAACTGATACCGTACCTCACCAAGAAGCAAATCACAGAAACAAAGAAGAGACAAAGATAACGGGGCAGATGCGTCATCGAATTAATGAATAATAAAGGAAAACGATACATAGAATGCTGTCTACTTCATTTATATGACCCAGACGTTACATAGCTACCCAAGGTTTTACATGTATGTCCCATGGCTTTATATGTTTGCCCCATGGTTATAAATGTCTGCTCCATGACTTTTGTGTCTGTCCCATGGTATTATGTCTGCCCCATGGCTTTATATATTTTCCCAATGGTTTTTACATGTCCGCCACATGGCTTTATATGTCTGTCACATGGCTTTATATGTCTGCCAAATGATTATATATCTGCCTAATGGATTTACATGCTTGCCCTATGACTTTACATGTCAGTTCCGTGGCTTTAGGTGTTTGAAATATATTATGAATATATTTTATAAGCTTCAGTAGTTGCCATAATCAATTTTAAAATATTAAATCAGTACAATAATGGTATACAATACCGACAGTTATATAAAGACACATTAATGCTACCTAACTGATGCACATGTGGCTTGTTGTATCCTTATACAACACTGCCAAGTGTCGTATAAGGATGTCACATACATGAGCAAATTTTATTTGAAGGGAAACTGTGGTTTTATCTAAGTGAACATGTGTTTGCAGGTGTTGTTGGGAGCGACGTTGATGGTGTTGGCTACGATGACAATGGCTGTCCCTACTGGTGCACGTAAGTAAGCTGGGATCCTTCAGCAGTATATTCAAGTACATAAATACTGCTGGGAGTAAAGTAAGTACATAATATTACAGAGAGTGCTTAATTATGAGTATATAAAATCTTCCCCCAAAAAGCGTATGTAATTAATAACGTGAAGGTCGACGAGTACATTATACTCCCAAAATACAATGAAAAACCGATATGCAAGTGTCTAGATATATATAAAGCATTTAAGAGAATGGATAAATATATAACATTCACAATCAAGAGATAATATAGGTGACAGAGCTTGTTACCATTGAGTGTTGACAATCGCTTATGATAGAACTGAAGTAACTTAGGGATGAACACGACAGTTCAAGAATGATTCAGGTTACCATCGTATTAATATTAACGTTTAACTGATCAATATTGAACTTGGTTCACTCACACGTCACACTAACTCACGGTATGTACACTGATAGGACAGTATCCCTCAGTGTATATATACTGAGTTTTAATCACTATTTTAGGGATTAAAGTAAATGATGTTGATAGCTAGACAAATTTCTCCTTAATCACACATTTGCCTAACAAATACAACTCACCTAACAAAGAGATGTATTTCTTATTATACATAAGTAGAGCTTAGGTTTTACGTCAATAACAGAATTAATGAACCATATAGTAAATTAAATATTAAAAACGAACAACAAATTCCCGAAATGATAATAAAGACATGTTATCACCATGGCGCCATAGAAACCTGTCACTGGCTTTTGTACACCTGGTAATGCCCGCCTCGCTACGTTAAGTTCCTCGTGAACCGTTACTACTTTCCACGCAATTAAATTTAATCAATGCTGCTTTAAGAGACTTATTATTTAGATACATAAGAACAATTAATCTACATGCACGAATTCTATCCAAATGCACACAATATTAGGACTCCTAACGTATCATCAGCAATCAACGCAACCTTCTCTGAGATTACAACGCCACATCAGAGCCCCTTTACACAGCCACGGTCGTCATGCCTTACTGCCTTAGAAAGTTGATTACACTGATGTCCACAGCAGCCTGAGGTGTGAGAGAATGGTTGGTCTGGGCCGTCACCACAAGGAGGAAAGGCGGAGAGAAGATCTCTGAGATAAAAACATTCGGCCATCCACACATCCATCCCGCTTCTTCAGGTCGGCCCAAACTGGGGTGGGTTTTGAGATAGGTTATCTGGAGGTTATCTGGAGGTTATTGCGGGGATCAACGCCCCCGCGGCCCGGTCCATGACCAGGCCTCCCGATGGATCAGGGCCTGATCAACTAGGCTGTTACTGCTGGCCGCACGCAGTCCAACGTACGACCCACAGCCCGGCTGATCCGGCACTGACTTTAGGTATCTGTCCAGCTCTCTCTTGAAGGCAGCCAGGGGGTTATTGGCAATTCCCCTAATGCTTGATGGGAGGCTGTTGAACAGTTTTGGGCCCCGGACACTTATGGTGTTTTCCCTTAGTGTACCAATGGCGCCCCTACTTTTTTTAATTGGGGGGATTTTGCATCGCCGCCCAGTCTCTAACTTTCGAGGAGTGATTTCTGTGTGCAGATTTGGGGCCATTTCTTCCAAGATTTTCCAAGTGAGATTATGATAATCTCTCCCTTTCCCGCGTTCCAACGAGTACAAGTCAAGTGCTTTTCCCAAACGTTCCCAGTAGTTAAGGTGCTTGACAGAACTTATACGTGCAGTAAAGGATCTCTGTACCCCCTCTCTAGACTGCAATTTCACCTGCTTTGAATGGAGATGTTAATGTAAAAGCAGTATTCCAGCCTAGAGAGAACAAGTGATTTGAAAAGGATCATCATGGGCTTGGCATCTCTCGTTTTGAAAGTTCTCATTATCCATCCTATCATTTTCTTTGCACGTGCGATCGTGGCACTGTTGTGATCCTTGGAAAGTGAGATCCTCAAACATTACTTACTCCCAGGTCCCTTACATTATTTTTTCCGCTCTATTGTATGGCCGGAGTCAGAGTATTACTCTGTTCTAGTTAATATCCCTCCAGTTTTCCATAACGGAGTAGTTGGAATTTGTCCTCATTGAAAAATCAATTGTTTACCGTTGCCCACTGGAAAACTTTGTTTATATCTTCTTAGAGGTTAACCGCGCCTCAGCAGATGACCCGCCTCAGCAGATCCCAGTATCATCCGCAAAGGATGATACGGTGCTGGGTGTACATCTCGTTTAAAGTCTGATATGAGGATAAGGAATAAGATGGGGGGGGAGTACTTGTGCCTTGGGGGAACAGAGCTCTTCACTATGGCAGCCTCCGATTTAACTCTGTTAACCACTACTCTTTGTGTTCGATTTGTTAGGAAGTTGAAGATCCATCTCCCCACTTTCCCAGTTATTCCTTTAGAACGTATTTTATGGGCTATTACGCCATGATCGCATTTGTCAAATGCTTTTGCAAAGTCTGTGTATATTACATCTGCATTCTGATTTTCTTCCAGTGCATCCAAGGCCATGTCATAGTGATCCAGTAGTTGTGAGAGGCAGGAGCGACCTGTCCTGAACCCATGTTGCCCTGGATTGTGCAGATTTTGGGTGGGAGTTAAACTATAACGAAAATGAATTAGAATAGGATAGGATGATCATTAAAACAGAATTAGAAAGATTAATAAAATAAGAGTGGATACGCAAAAATTAAACTATGATGGGCGATGAGTGGGGATAAGTTGACAAAACGACGGTATGTGGTGAGAATAAACTAAAATAGGACATATGCAACAGTTAAGTATCTTTATTTCGAAACGTTTCGCCTACACAGTAGACTTCTTCAGTCGAGTACAGATTGTTTCAGACTATGGGACTGAGGGACTGACCACCTCAAAACTTCAAGGGTGATGGACTGATTACATCGTCTTCAAGTATCTTCTGCTTCTATCAACTTTTCTGTACTCGACTGAAGAAGCCTACTGTGTAGGCGAAACGTTTCGAAATAAAGATACCTAACTGTTGCATATGTGTCTTACCTAACAACCTGTCGGTATTTTATACCATTTTAAAATAGGACAGGAAAAGGTTTGTATATGATTGACAAACATTAGGACGGGATGGGTGCAGGTAAGGACAGAATGGGTGTTTGATGCACTGTATTGACGACATTAAGGATAGAATGGGAGAACAAGAAAATAAAATGAGATACAAAGCGGGTGGGGTTGGATACAGTGGAATGTGATGACCGCTGAGGATGTGTTGCTTTGGAACAGTTGTAGTCTAGTTTTGGAAAATATCACGTTTAACAAGAACTATAGATGTAGCTGGTGTGAAACTGTGTGTGACTCATGGCTAAATATAGGTGTGGAGTGAAGATAGGCTAGACTGGAAGATGAAGGGTTGTGTAGGCGACGCAAAGATAGGAGTGGCTGCTGATAGCAGCAGTAGATGTAGTGAAACAGCACTTGTGACGCAGCAGTGCCGAGCTCCTCCCCCCCCTTCCCGTTCTCTCCCCTCTTCCTTCTCCCTACGCTACCTTGACCACTTTCTCCTGGGTATGTGTGGGTGATGGTGGTGGGTAGGACCCTGCACCTGATACACCTTTCCTACTCCACGCTGCGCCATCATCACTAATCGTCTTAGCCACTCTCTATGGACCCTAGGTAGGAGAACCGTGGTAAATTACCTCAAATGTGGTTAAAATGAAAATCTCCCGGGTAATGAAGGGTCAATAAACATATAAATAAAATAGCACGAAAATTTATTATTTAATAAGCGAGGCAAATTATGAGAGTTACTTTTTTTTTCAGACAAATAATTTTTAGTCTAGCGGGTAATTTCACTGTACACAAATTTGTTTTGGGGCAATATCCAAGACAAGTTCGCTGACCTCTGCTGGAGTCTATGCCATCACCATTTCAGAATTCACAAATTAATAATTATAATGTTGAACACTACAAAGATGGAAGTATTTTTTAATTTCTTACAATAATGTTCCATCACTGGTGCGGGTACAATAATGTTCCATCACTGGTGGGGGTACAATAATGTTCCATCACTGGTGGGGGTACAATAATGTTCCATCACTGGTGGGGGTACAATAATGTTCCATCACTGGTGCAGGTACAATAATGTTCCATCACTGGTGCGGGTACAATAATGTTCCATCACTGGTGGGGATACAGTAATGTTCCATCACTGGCGCGGGAACAATAATGTTCCATCACTGGTGCGGGTACAATAATGTTCCATCACTGGTGCGGGTACAATAATGTTCCATCACTGGTGCGGGTACAATAATGTTCCACCACTGGTGTGGGTACAATAATGTTCCATTACTGGTGTGGGTACAATAATGTTCCATCACTGGTGCGGGTACAATAATGTTCCACCACTGGTGTGGGTACAATAATGTTCCATTACTGGTGTGGGTACAACAATGTTCCATCACTGACGTACAATTCACAATTAACCTGCACATAGAAGAGAAGAGCTTACGACAATGTTTCGGTCCGATTTGGACCATTTACAAAGTCACACTAACGAGAAGTGGAGCAGGACGGGTATATATAGGCAAGAAGTGGTAGTAGTAGTAGTAGTAGTAGTAGTAGTAGTAGTAGTAGTAGTAGTAGTGGTGGTGGTGGTGGTGGTGGTGGTGGTGGTGGTGGTGGTGGTGGTGGTAGTGGTAGTGGTAGTAGTAGTGGCGGAGGTGGAAGTAAGTAGTGGTGGGGAAGTAAGAAGGAGGAGCCAGTCAAATACTAAGAAAGGGGAGCACTGCAAGGGAGCTAGGTGCCCACAGAGGGAGAGCAAGAACACAGAGATGGGGGGGGGGGAATAATTTATATAATGAAGGAACAGAAACACAAGGCAGAAGAAAGAAAGACAACCCAGAAGAGAAAAAGGAAAGAGGAAAGTGGAAGAGGGAGAAGAAGAAAAAGGTGGAATCAGGTTAAGTCACGGGTGTTCTGAAGTTTGGAGCATTTTACAATGTAGCGGGAGAGGAAGGCATCTACAGAGACGAAGCCAGGACTAAGATTCATACAAGGAAAGTTGTGTATTAGGGAGGATTCAACCAGACGGCGACTGTTAAAGTTGTAAGTAGGGAAGACAGTTAGCAGAAGACCAATCAATAGGATGGTTGTGATCTCTGACGTGACAGAAAAGAGCATTGTTAGTGTCAGCAAGCCTAACACTATTTTTGTGCTCCCTAAGTCTGTCAGAAAGAGACCGGCCAGTTTCTCCAAAGTCATGAAGAGGACAGGAGGAGCAAGAAATAGAGCAGACACCAGGAACATCTGTAGAGGGAGGGGAGGTATGAACGAGATTAGTGCGAAGTGTTAGTCTGGCGGAAAGTAAGCTTGATGTCTAAGGAACGGAGAGAGTTGTTGAGATTAGAAAGACCGGAAATGTAGGGAAGGCAAAGGACAGAAGAGTTCCCAGGAGTAGAGAGTTTGGGTTATTTGTGTATCGTTTCAGTCATGGTATTGTGCCTTTTTTTTGTTATTTACTGACGTACAAGTGTGTGATACATCTAACATGTCATTTATTTTCAGCGGGAGGTGAGCTGGTTGGGCGAGACTTTCTTCAACAGGGTCATCACGGCATCCCACGGGTTCAACGAAACTTCCTCTCGCAGGATCAACGAGTTGCCAGCCACCACGATCAAGGAGTTACTATCTCACGGGATCAACGAGCCGCCAACCCTCAGGGTCAAGGAGTCACTCTCCCGCGGGATCAACGAGCCTTCAGCTCTCATGGTCAAGGAATCACTATCCCGCGGGATCAACGAGCCGCCAACCCTCAGGGTCAAGGCGTTGTTATCCTGCAGGGTCAACGAGCCACCAACCCTCAGGGTCAAGGAGTCACTCTCCCGCGGGATCAACGAGCCTTCAGCTCTCATGGTCAAGGAATCACTATCCCGCGGGATCAACGAGCCGCCAACCCTCAGGGTCAAGGAGTTACTATCCTGCAGGGTCAACGAGCCACTAACCCTCAGGGTCAAGGAGTCACTCTCCCGCGGGATCAACGAGCTTCCAACTCTCATGGTCAAGGAGTCACTCTCCCGCGGGATCAACGAGCCTTCAGCTCTCATGGTCAAGGAATCACTATCCCGCGGGATCAACGAGCCGCCAACCCTCAGGGTCAAGGAGTTACTATCCTGCATGGTCAACGAACCACCAGCCCTCAGGGTCAAAGAGTCACCATCCTGCAGGGTCAACGAACCGCCAGCCCTCAGAGTCAAGGAGTCACTACTCTGCATAGTCAACGAGCCGCCAGCCCTCAGAGTCAAGGAGTCACTACTCTGCATGGTCAACGAGCCGCCAGCCCTCAGAGTCAAGGAGTCACTATCCCGCGGGGCCAACGAGCCGCGAATCCTCAGGGTCAAGGAGTCACCATTCCGCAGGGTCAACAAGCCACCAACCCTCAGGGTCAAGGACTCATCATCCGTCGGAGTCAGGGAGTCGTCATCTCCAAAAATAAAGAAGTCAAACCACAGGGTAAAGGAATCGTTACCCCGCTAGGTCAACAAGGCTTCATCCCCCATAGGCAACAAAGCGTCATTTCCCATGGGCAACAAGCCCTCGTCCCCCAGGGTAAACAAGGCCTCATTCCCCAGGGTAAACAAGGCCTCATTCCCCAGGGTAAACAAGGTCTCATCCTACAAGATCTACAGGGATTCGTCTCTCCGAGTCCACTAATTTTCACTCCCCAGGCAAAACCTGGCTTTACTGCCCAGGGTAAACAAGGCTTTATCCCGCAGGATAAATCAGGCTTTATTCCACAAAGCCAACAAGGCTTTATCTCCCAGAATCAAGTAGGCTTTATTCCTCAGAGCCAACAAGGTGCCATTCATCAACGTCAACAAGGTATTATTCCTCAGGGTCAACAAGGTGTCATTCATCAACGTCAACAAGGTATTATTCCTCAGGGTCAACAAGGTGTCATTCATCAACGTCAACAAGGCTTCCTTCCTCAACTTCAACAAGGTTTTATTTCTCAACATCAACAAGGCTTTATCCCTCAAGGTCAGCAAAGCTTCATCCCTCAAGGTCAGCAAGGCTTCATTCCTCAAGGTCAGCAAGGCTTCACCCTTCAAGGTCAAGAAGGCATCATCCCTCCGGGTCACTCTCGCACCGTCCAACCAGCTCTGCCACAAGGTCAGTCTCCCAGTCACACAGTTTTCCCCTCACTTTTCAGCAAGCTCCCATAAAAGCATTCATAAATAAATATATTAAGACTCACACTGCTGAGCTTATATTCAAACAGCTCATGGAATCCTACAGACCACCAGCCACCACCCAGGATTAACAAGCTGCTAGATGACCAAGCCTCTACCTCTTAACAGCCACTGCACACTCTTCCCCAACTCTTCCATTCGCCCCAGGCATTATAGATCTTGTTAATTTATTCATTGGGTAAAAAATCATTTAGGGTGGGTGTTGTTTGCATAATGATCCACTCATTCACTTGGTCATTAGGAACTACTTATCTTCACTCATTCACTTTCAACTCTCTTCTTCCGCACCCCTCTTCCAAAGTCCTCCACCGACCTTGCAGCTTCTCTCGAGAATTTCACAATAACAATGACAAACAATAACTGCTACAACTCATATTTAAAATCAGATTCATTACTTTACTTTGGGTCCACACATTTTACCAAACACACTAGAATTCACTTCTACAACCACAGCAATCAGCCATGAGATCATCACTCGTCCTTATCAAAACTCTACAATGACTTGAAAAAATGCCACTTCTTCTGTAATACTTTAACATGCGTTCCTCCTCTCATAAGAAAGGTTTTGCACCTATGGGTCCCTCGCTAAACCCATACGGGTTATACAACGCCTAGGGAATGGGAGGTAATCAGATTTAATCCTCGGATCAAGAGCATTCACCAGCATTAAAGAGTCCGCTACAATATTTGTACTTTCCTTGTCCCCCTTTCCCCTGCCAGTGCTCGTGCACCTTCCCTAATTTTATCTATGCGTTGAAGATATTGCTCATTGCTTTCAGTCTCAGTCGTAACTCCAACCACTAAAGCTGATTTTCTCACTTTTAGCTTTTTTACTGCTTCATTCACGTCCTTCACACTCGACGCACGTTCTTCATTCATTTAATGTCACCTTGAGAAAAATCACTTACTCAACGAACAATAGATGTTAAGTTATAATCACATATGTGTGATATTACAAGAGTAACTCAAAAAAAAAAAAAAAAAAAAAAACACTATCTCCGTCATTCATGCAGTAGCTGTCTTGACAAAACTGCGCTGACTTCATAATTTTAAATGCCCTCCAGAAATCAATATTCCCAGCCATCCTTCACAGTACAAGCACTATATTTATCATTTCCGGTTTCATATAGAAGAAATTACAATAATACGAGTGGTGGTGGACCGGTTGGCCTTCTGCAGTGCTCCTACATTCTTATGTTGTTGCTTCTTAAGTTAAAATCTTAATATGTTTAATTTGAAATTACCTATACATTTTTTCTCTCTTAATGGTTGGACATCATTGTCTATGTTAATCTATTTACATACTTCCAAACTGCTATTCTTTGGAAACAGTTTTTTTTTTTCTATTATTCCTGGACGAGTAGACCTTCTACAACGTTTTTTGAGGTAACACCTCAATGAGTGAGGTGTTGCCTTGCTGTGTAAGTTAATATCTCATTAAATAAGTTACCACTTTTTCTGAGTGAGATATTACCTCAATTTGTAATATATAAAATGTGCTTCTCTTGCCTCTCCCTCCTATCTCTCCCTGACCCTGCATGGGTCGACCTTTCAATGAAGTCCTTTTTAACCTGCCCACAACCCTTGCCCTATACCCCTCACATTTTCCCCTACCAACCCAAGTTAAATGGTCTCGGTGCAATGGCACCTTTAGAGAACACATTTCAATATGTTTCAATACACAATATGAATAACTAAAAAATAATTAATGCTAACGCCTAATTTACAGAGTTTAGATGAATGTATATGCTTATTCCTAGCTATATTATTATTATGACTATCAAACATATACAACAAGTTGTCAGAGCCAATAAAAGATAGGTTATTGTTGAATTGCTATGCTGTCGTTGATAATCAAACTGTCCTTGCAGATCATCACTTCAGCAACAATTTTGACGTCAGCCAAATTATCCGCGACTTGACAAGCTCCAAAAGGACGGTGTTGGAAGCCAACTTAATCACGGGGTCTGGCCTACTGTACCGGGGCACCGCACATTCGACTATAAAGCCGGCCACTAAAGTACAAGAAGTCAACAGACAAGGACTCCTAGATGACTCTGTTGAACAGGAAAAGTTACATATCAATGACCAACAAGACATTAAACTTGATGATTCGTTCTTTATAACTGGCGATATTCTTGATTCGAAGGAAGATGATCTTACAGTCGTAACTGGTACACCAAGTTTCTCATCTGTAACTCCCACGCTAGAGAATACCAGTCCAGCTTTTAAGGGATCAACAGAACTAGGTGTGTCCACTAGTATCCCAAGTGTGGTTGTTGATGGAGTAGGTGTAACTCTTCCAGATGTAACTACTGGCGTGTCACTTATCTCTCCTACAAGTAAAGAAATGTCTCTTGAAAAAACAGAAATACCCCTTCTAGATGAGACTACAATAGGTTCAAGCGTGTTCATTGGAGTCTCTGAAAATTCTGTTGCGCCCTTGAGCTCGGGAGAGTCAGTCAGTGCTCCAGGAACGACGAGTCTCGAGCTAGAGATTATCGGATCTGATATAGGTGATACTATTTCTTCTGACATTTCTAGCAGTTCCCATGAGATTCCCACATCAGGTGAGCTTTCTAAACTTCCACACACAGACCCACTGCTCCCTGAAACGAATGCTCTTCCCCAAGTTCTTGAAACCCTTCTTAGTGGACATACGAACCAGATACATGACCCCAGTCAAACCCTGGAGAGCTTCCTCTTGGGTCTCAACGGGAAGAACGGCGTGGTGGTTCTTCCCTCATCTAGTCTAGAGAAAATAACAGCTAGTGGCATTAGCTCACTTGCAGGAACGGCAAAATCTATTAGGGCCGTCGACAGTACACATGGAGATCTTTACAATTCCGTTGCAAGTACTCCACTGGCTGACCTGGCCATCGACAGTGCTGTTGATGTTGTCAATTCCGTTGCAAGCACTCCACTGGCTGACTTGGCAACAGACAGTGCAGTTGGGCATGTCGTTAATTCCGTCGCAAGTACTGCAGAATCTGCACTAGCCATCAATGGTGCTGTTGAAGGCAACACAGTAGAAGCAAAAGAAATTGTCAGCGATATTAGCTCTGATGACATCGACAGTTTTGCACTTGATTTGAACTCGCCAGGCATCACTGCCCGAAGCGTCGCTCCCACCACCGTCAGTTCGCTAGGCGTCACTGCCCTTAGCAGCTCCCCTACTGCTGATACTTCACTAGGAGTCACTGTTCCCAGCGGCATATCCACCACTGCGAGCAGTTTATCATTTAATAGTGTATCATCCACCTCAAGCTCCAGGAGTGCAACTTCAACAAATACTCCTTTATTCCGTGGTCCAGTGTCGGACATCCTCTTCACCAAGGGCCGCCTAGCGGGCACTATAATTGGAGGACTTATTGATTTAGGTTCCACAATTTTTCGTGGCTTATCACAAATAAAACCTTTCACATCATAGCCGAAAACTGTCTTACGTATATAAGTCAATGTTGTTATTAATATTTTTGATAAAAACTCCATTCTTCATCTACTCTGGCAGTGGATGGTTGGAAGGCATTGCTGACACATATTGGTAATATAAAGAAAGACACTTAGAGAAGAGCAAGTCTTTAACAAGAGAAACTTGGTGTGCTGTTTTTATATTACCTAAACTAGCAGCGGGTGTTCCTGACGCCAGTCTGGTGGCCACGTTGGAGGTATAGTTGCTCGCCCTAACTAATAGCGTGAAAATAGAGCTCAAACATTTTTCCAGGATCTTTAAATAGCAATGTTCAACAAAAATCTGAAAAAATACGCTACTCTTGGAATTCCAAAGAACAATAAAGCACTATAGATACATACAAGATTACATAACTGTTTTTGGCATACTGATCTCACTCTGTGATCTCCTTAACACACTCCAAAACCATATTATATTTGTACCAACAACATCAAATTAAAATTACAATATGAAGAGCACAAAAAGTGTCTTTCTTGAAAAGGCAATAAATGTTTATCGATTTCTGGAAAAGCAGATACAATAGTGATGGGTGGAAGTACTTCTCAAGTTCTTTGCTGCTGCTGCTCTTAGGTTTGCTGGATAATGAGAAAATACTGTTATAACTTTCTTATTGAGATATGCAATACAGAAGCTGAATATATATAAATATATATATATATATATATTATATATATATATATATATATTATATATATAAAATAATATATATATATATATATATTATATATATATTCATATATATATAAATATATATGAATATATATATATTATAATATATATAATATAATATATATATATATATATATTATATATATATATTATTTATATATATATTTTATATTTATATATATATATATATATATAAAATATATATATATTATTCATATATATATATATATATATATATATTCAATATATATATATATATATATATATATATATATATTCTATATATATATATAAAATTCATATAATATATATATATATATTCATATATATATATATATATATAATATATATTCATATATATATATATATTCATATATATATATTATATATATATATAAATATATATATATATATATATATATATATATATAATATATATATATATAAAATATATATATAATTGTTGTGTTTTATAGCCAGACTTATTAAACAAGCCGAATTTTCTCAAAAAAAAAAAAAAATCTCGGGTTCTTTATGAAATATTGATATATTCACGTAAAGTGGCAGGTATGCAAATTCTTAATTTTGCACCAAGACTTAGCATTCAAGCCTAGCCTAGCTAAAATTAACGTACTATAATATAGCCTAAGTGTACCCAACCTACATAAGATCGTCCTTAATAAGCGATAGTAATCGTTAATAAATATATTAATTTCGTGATATTCAGATTGATTTTCGCAGGGGTTATATCAAACATGAATTTCACTCAACTTGTTTAGCTAGAACTATCTTTGCTTTATAAGCGAAGTTCGCAAGTTATGGCTAAAAATGCACAACATACCTATTACTTTAAGACACAAGAAACCATTGTTATGTTGTTTGTTTATCTGTTGTATCTAATTACGATAACAATATATATAATAAATAAATATTTTTTTCATGATTACTCTCCCTTCTGTTTACCATTGCATACAACTGTTCCTTATCATCTGAAAACATTACACTCAAACTCTGAAAGCTGAATGATGGCATCTTTGCTATATTATTATTTTTTTTATTAACACACTGGCCGATTCCCACCAAGGCAGGGTGGCCCGAAAAAGAAAAACTTTCACCATCATTCACTCCATCACTGTCTTGCCAGAAGGGTGCGTTACACTACAGTTTTTAAACTGCAACATTAACACCCTCTTTGCTATATATATTTTTATATTGTATTTTAAACTTTTACCGTGGCTTACAATGCAAATTCTAATTAAATATTTACTAGAAAATAAATTATAGACTGGGAATATTGTGATTCTCTAAGTGATCCCTTCCCATAATCGAGAAATGAAACTGACTGGCTGTACTGGATGCACCATTGCGTAATCTGGGCAACTGGAGCCTTAATTATTAATTAAACCTCTTTAAACTTTTCATGATGCGATTCTTAATATATTTATCAAGACGGAATGAAGGCGAAGGAAGGGCCTGCATGTCGGCGGCTTCACAAGAAAGATGAGACAATATCTTGACTATTTCACTAATTGTCAAAAAAAAAGACATCTACTAATTTAAATTTCACAATATGATGAAATGTAGCAATATAAAAAGGGAGGAAGGGTGCAGATGCGAACCTACTACCCAATGATGTGGGGTCGCTAACTCAGTGTACCCCCTGCTTTAATATACGAAATAAGCAATTTTCAAACAAAGTAAACCCCAAGTCATGTAGGCTTACTGTCTAAAGTTGCGGTGTGTTATTGAAAAATACCATTTGTTCGGGGTTACAATCTATACAACGCTTGTGGAGGCTAGAAAACCAAAAGGGGAGTAGAAAAATTTTAGCTCTGAGGCACCCCACCACGTATGCCCCTCGGATCCCGGTACAAACCTAGCTCTGCGGGGTGGTGGCCCCGTGGGTTAGTTTTCGTAAATTTTTCACTAAACTGGGGCGGGCTAAAAAACCCGGGGGTTCGATCCCCGGCTCTGCGTGCTGTTACTGTATATATATATATATATATATATATATATATATAAATTATATAAATATATAAATTATATATATATTATATATATATATAATATATATATATAAAATTTAAAAAGCAGCTCGCTCATATGCACGGGGAAATTCACAACCTTTTTAAGCGGGTGAATGGGGGGTTTCCACCAACTTGACCCCGAGCACCATCCAGTGGCGAAACCCTTTCCTTGTTCGGCAAGTCTGTCTTGCAGTTCCTAAAGACGGGCAAACTGCTAACCACGTCAGTTAAAAGGCAGGGAAACTACCCAAAAAGGGGAAACTTTTCCCCTGCCCCATCTCGCAGGAATCAAAGAGGGAAACCCAAAAAAAGTCCTAGAAAACGAAAAATTTGCGCACAGTTTAGCAAAAAAATTGGGGAAGGTACACATGGGACAATAAAAAAATTTTTTCAAGTGACGCATTTACCCCCCAAGGAGAGCCCAGGGCCCCAAAGACTAAGAACAAGACCCAAAACCAGGGACCACAGCCATAAACGACAACCCTGAAGTTAAAGGCGATCGTGTCATTTCCAGCGGGAAATTCAGGGGGTTCCGGGAATTCGATCTCAGCACCTCAAAAAATGGTAAATCCAGTTTTTCGGTGAATCTGCTCAATTCTTCCCCCGAGTTAACAACTTTCGTCAACAATTCCGGGCTGGGCGAATCCCAAAGAAATTAAACCTTTCTTTTTTGGACCCTCACTATGTGTTTGAAAAGAGGGATGGGGGAATAAACCCCCATTGAGTGGAAACACTCTTCGCCGTCTCTTTCCCAAAAGCAGCATGAAAAACTTTGCCTAGAAGCTGCCACTTTACCCCCACCCCACCAACGGGGTTTGGGGGGTCTCTCAAGGCAGTGAAGCTGCAGCTCATCGGCAAGGGCCTACATCAGGGACCTACCAGAAACAAGGCCATAGTCAAACTTGATTTTGAAATGCCTTTAAAATGGGAGGGGGATGCGTTTTGCCACTGTTCGGGTTCGGTTCCCCATCTCTTTCCCTTCATTTCAGCCGGCTACAGCAAACCCTCAATTCTTTTGTTTGGAGAAAATAAAATTTAATCTCAGAGGGGTTCAGCAGGGTGACCCACTTGCTCCACTTCTTTCCTTGCAGTAAGAGAACAAACTTCCAGCCTACGCAGTGAACTCAATCTGGTCCCGGGTGAGGCACCTGGCAGGTACTGAAGGCCCCCTCGTGGGGGACCTAAAACGGGTGAAAACCGGGGAGAAGGTTTGGGGACTCATCCTCAATCCCCTAATTTTGTAAAATCATCACAGCGGAACCAGGAAATAATCAAGCTGTGCGAAGAACCCTCCGGAAATCTCAACACAACTCCGTCCAACAGTATCTTTTGGGGGGCACCGCGGGGTCACCGGGCCACGATACTTCCTCGGGGGAAAAATTGAATGCCCTTAGAAATGGAGGAGAAATAACGATCTTGTGCCCATGAGCTTGTTCTCCTACAAGGGTCTTACTATCCCAAGACTCATTTACTTTTTGAGGTGTCCCCTCTTTTGACAACCAACACTCGATGAATAGACGCACACCTGAGATAAATTTTTTAAAAAGGCACTGAACCTTCACAGAGGATGAGCAATTTGATCGGGAAACCCCCTCCCATGCGACGGGAGGTATAGGGGTCGTAAAAAAAACGCATGTTGCTTTACCTGTTTTTCTTCTTCGTGTTTGGCTTCCAGTGCATTATCAAGAAGATAGTGCCCGAACGTGAAGACTTGGTAGATCAAGACCCCGGGTTACTAAAGCAGAAATTCGGGGAACCCTTAAAAGCTCCTCCTAGACCAGCTCCCCCCCAAACAGCCAAAACAGCCCCCACGGGGAAAAAACCGTCAGGGGAAAAAATCCCCAAACACAATGCTTCCAATGCCTCAGGAAAGAACAAAGCTCGTCTCCGGCAGTGAAGGCACCACACCAGGAGATTTCCTTTACTTTTCCCAATTCCTCCCTGGGCACCCGTCTCGACCCACAGGCCATTCGGATTGGTATTGCTCTTCGCCTACCCGCCCCATCCTCACCGAAATAGGTGATTTTGGGGCGGGGCGAAGCGATCTTTTCGGACCCAGGTTCGTGTCCACAGCAAAAGGGGAAAAGTATGCCAGACATGAGAATCAATGACTAAAAAAAGAAAAGCATCCCCACAGCCTTTCCCCAGCTCAACGGGAACCCCAAGTACAGAGGGGTGATGGAAGTCAAAAGCGTCCTGATGAGCCCTATCTACCCTGGAAGGATGGAAAAACAGATTGCCTGGGGGCAAAACCTGTCTGCCCCATTTGGGAGACACCTCTTTCCCTACTTGTAGTGGAAGGGGGGGGAGTGCCAGCCCAGGGAGACCCAGAATCCCAAAATATGAAACCTTCCCCCTTTTTTTATAAAATTCATTCCAATAGGGGCGGAGACCCCCTTGGGGGCATGGGGGAAGTGTCTTAAAGTTTCCCCAAAAGCTGGGTGAAAAGCTCATCTAGAAACCCAAAGGCCACAGGGCACCACTTTCCCCTTTCAGAACTCAGTGTTGCATCGAGAGGAAAAAGCCTGCGTTTTGGGCACCGGCCCCCCCGCAGGGGGGACTGGACGAATATTCGAGATGTGCTCTGATTACCTATGTTGTTTACTTTGTATCAATTTTTGTGAATGTTTTTGCAATGTATTTTGCTTTTAAAAAAAATATATTCATAATTGGGGGTGGTAGGAAAATTTCCCCAAAGTCAGGGGGAAACTTGAGTTTTCCCTGAAGCAAATTTTTTCTTTTCTTGAGGATGGGGTCCCCATAACAGTTTCAGGGTGGTACTCCCTATATTTTATATATATATATATATATTTTTATATTAAAAATTTTTTAATAATATATAAAATTTTTATTAATTATTTTATATTTATATATATTTAATACAATATATATACATATTATATATATATATATATATATAATAATATATATTAAATTAT